GGGGTGGGGGGGTCAAACAGGAAACATCTGACATGAAGACGACAGGTGGAGGAAACGTACCGAGGTTTGGGAGGTCAGAGGTCAGACAGATGACTTTGTCCAGAGAGGACTCGTCCAYGTCCAGCTGAGGGATGGACATCTGGAAACAGACAGGAAGTCAGCGACACGAGCCTCACCTGTCGCCCACCACGAGGCCCGACAGGTGGAACTCACCTGCATCCTGCAGTCACAGTGCCAGGGGTTCTGGGTCAGGTTGGCCTGGACCTGAAGACCACCGAGCACATCGGGGTCCAGGGTGGTGAGCCGGTTGAACGACAGGTCCAGGAACCGAAGAGACGGCGCCAACCCGAAGAAACAACCCGCTTCAAGTAAAGACAGCTGCGACAGGAAACAGGAAGTAGGTCAGACAGGAAGTGAGTAAAACCTGAAGTAAAGCCAGGTACWGGTCTGAGGTGAACTGGGACCTGGTTGTGGGACAGGTCCAGCTCATCCAGCAGGAGCAGGTCAGAGAAGGAGTAGGCCGGCAGGTAACTGAGCAGGTTCTTGTTCAGAAACAGTCGAGTGGTGTGATTGGACAGGCCGACAGGTACCTGCAGACAAGAACACACCTGAGCACCTGACATTCAGAACCTCTGGTTCTGACCAACCTGCAGACAGGAACACACCTGGGTCAGTCTGAGTCCGCTGCAGCGAACCGTCAGTCCTCCGTACGCCGCCGCCGTCTGCTGGCAGGCGCTGATGGAGGCAGCTCTGTTGCCACGGCGCCACATCATCGCACGAGGTGATGATGTCATGACCAGGCTGGGTGATGGAAGCACCAGGAGGAGGAGGAGGAGCATCCTCCATACCACAGAAGAAGAAGAAGAAGAAGAAGAAGAAGAAGAAGAAGAAGAAGAAGAAGAAGAAGACGGCAGAGACATGATGGTTTGCGCTCACTTCCTGTCACCCCCTGTCACTTCCTGTCAATTCTGGTCACTTCCTGTCACCCCCTGTCACTTCCTGTCAATTCTGGTCACTTCCTGTCACACCCTCAGCTGCATCTTCTGTCATAAACACACAATTAGACAATAAATTATTCAGCACAAGGTCAAGCATGATGGCAAATGAAACWGCTGTTAATAACAAGCTTAGATTTTCACAATAAAAGCACACGAAACATCACCAGGTGTTCAGACCAGCTGATAATTATTACAGTGATCAATAAATATTAATCACAAATAATTTTAGGATCCTCAAAGAAACYCTCTGATCTGTATTCAACAGTTTGAAGAGAAGCGTTCTTGTCTGTAAATTCTGAGGAATAAATTTTATGTTTTTAACAAAATAACTAATAAATATTGTTGTTTAAAACATTTATTACTGATTCATTTTTCTCTGTTTTTCATATTTGGGTCTAAAACAAGAACAGGTCAAAACAAAAGGAGGAAAACAAAGAGATTAGAGGAGAGAAAAGAGGAAGAGGAGGAGAAAACGACAAAAGAATGAAGATGATGAAGAAGGGCAGATTAACAAATAGATGAAGACGAAGATCAGGTTAATCCTGCAGGGATTAAAACAGATTTACTGCTTCAGATGAAGAAAAAGAAAAAATCTGACACATTTTTCTATAAATGAAATATTTTTAAATCTTTTCTCTTGTTTTTATTTGTTGTCATTTTATAATTCCTGCTCAGTTTTACTTTATAAAAATATCTGCAAACAAACATTCTGTTTGTTTTTATTCCTCATTTTTAAATTTGTTCGTCCAAATATAAAAAACACAATGACCTTAAAAGTTCAAATATAAAAAAATGTGAATAATTTCAAAAACAACAAACAAACAGCTGCAGCAGCGACACCACATGAGATCCTGTTTTTTTATTTATTTACTGTAAAAATTGGCTAATAATACACAAGAAATGTGACATAAACAAATAAACAAACAGGTTGTTTCTACTCACGCTCATCAGGTCAGAGACTGAAGGTTCACAAACAAACAAAGATGCTCCAGTTTGTGTCTGAGTTGATTCTGTTCTGATCAGATGCTGAAGCAGAAAAAAGCTGCAGGTTTGAGTCACGTGACAGGAGGTGKGAACAGCGCCCCCTGCTGGACAGGACCCTGCTGGTTCACCTTCAGGGGAAAAGGCTGAAATAAACAATCACCACAGAGGAAGTTTTATCAGTTTATCTGTGAATTTATTCATATTTTTAAAATAACATAAATAAAATCTAACATGTTGCATAAAGTCAAATATGAGCTGTTTTTATTTGTTTTGTTTTTCAGTCAGAGAGCAGCTTCCTGTTTACAGCCTGACAGGCAGAACTCAGGGCTGAGAGCCCAGAGGATCAATTAATCAATTCCAATCTGATTGGTCCGTGTTCGGTTCGGTTCTGTAGTAAACTGATGACGTTCTAACATGATGAGCAGTCTCCCTGCTCCTATCAGCCAGGTGACAGGTGCGCGGTGGGCGGGGCTTCCTGCAGCTCGAGCTGTCTGCGCACAGCTGATAGAGGAGCGGGAGACACGCAGCGCGTGCACAGCACAGGACAGGGTGAGACCCCACAGGAGAACCAGAACCTGAGGACTGCGCTGGACCCGAACCTYAAACTGGACCCGGTTCGACCCGAACTTTCAGCTGGACCCGGCTAGACTCGAGAGGACTGAGCTGAACCCGGTTCGACCCGACCTGACAGTTAGGTCCGACCTGAGCTGGACCGGATTTGAGGCCCTGGCCCGGGTCGCTTCAGACGGAACCAGTGAGTCCAACACAAACACAACTTTTATTACAGAATWATTGACAAGTCACGTGATCAAAACAACATCTTAATAAACTCTTTAGTTTGGTTTCAGTAAATAAAGTTTTGTTATCAAACTGAAACAGATTTTATTTTTATTTTTTAAACTTTATTTTCATGACACAAGTTTAACAAGTTTAATATTTAAATAAAGTTGAAAGTTTTTGAAAACATAATAAAACTATTTAATTTCTTTAATGATTGAAAATAAAACGATATTTAATAATTATCTGAGTAAATAATAAGTAAAATGTGTTGTTTTGTTTAAATTGTCTCAAAGAAAAAGTTATTTTATTTGTGATTTTGTGGAAAATAAAATCTGTTTTGTTGTGTTTGATTGACAGAAGCTCCGCCCACAGGCTGACGTCTCATGTTTGAGTGACAGATTGCTGAAGCTCCGCCCACAAACCGACGCTCATGTTTGATTGACAGAAGCTCCKCCCACACACAGAAGGCTCATCTTTGATTGACAGGTTGCTGACGCTCCGCCCACAGGCAGACAGGTGGACGATGATACTCTCCACCTGTGACGGCGACGCCAAGCAGCGACCTGAGGACGATGAAGACGATGAAGACGAAGACGCAGGACTTCCTGTCGTTATGACGTCCTCAAAGGACACGCCCCCGTCGGGTCAGGACCTCGGCTGGGGGTCAGACGAGGCCGACGTCTCTCTGTCCGACTCGGTCAGGGAGGCGTTACCGTGGCAACAGAAGAAGGAGGAAGAAGAGGAGGAGATGAAGGCGGTGGCGTCCTCGCCCGATGGACGCTTCCTGAAGTTCAACATTGAGATCGGGCGGGGCTCCTTCAAGACGGTCTACCGGGGGCTGGACACGGAGACCACCGTGGAGGTGGCCTGGTGCGAGCTGCAGGTAACACCAGCATCATGGAACACCTGGTCACCACGGTGACGGACAGCGGGCGGGGCCTATCTGGTGGCTGACTTGATGACACGCTTCACACGTGTGTGTGTGTGTGTGTGTGTGTGTGTGTGTGTGTGTGTGTGTG